TTTATATTTAATATTTGTACTACAAAGATTCTTCGGCACTAGTATACACAGAAACCTATGGTGGCATATAACTTAAGCTGAGAGAAACTAATGATTGTTCACGATCGGAGTATTTTCTGATAATATATACGTTGCTATAGTTACATGGTTAATAGGCCTTAATATAAAAATAGAAAAGGTGTTTGGTGGCAGTTATGACAAATATATATACTGAATGTGTGATAATCTTATTATCGCTTTTGATTAATTTAAAAAAAATGAATACAAATAAAACAAATCAACTGTGTATGATTTATCTTAAATTGTAGCTTTTTCGGGACGTAATTGTTAAATTATTTCTTCTCTCAAAAAATGTTATAATGTTTTAACATATTCTATATATTTTTGTTTTTATGAAATAATTTTTCTTTTCATGGAACACAAAACAACCGTTTCCAAGGCTACATATCACTCGTGATGTTTAAAATTAATATTAGTAATTTTAGCAACTATGAATAAATCAATAGATTTTCTATAGTCAATGGGGGTTGTCTGCGTTTGACCGCAACTGCACTGTGTAGTAGTATGATTGAATGCCGTGAGATATACTATATATGACTCAAATATCGGCGACAACTACTCAACAATACGGGAAATACATGTATGTAAAAAAAAGTAAAGTGCAGTAAGCACATTACAATGTAGAACAAAATAGTTATTCTAGAAAGGTTGTGTACAATACTAGTTTAAGTAATATTTACACTATTTTATGCAGTGTACACCAACATTTAATAACTGAATATATATAAAAAAAATAGTTTTACATTATAAATTATGCCATAAAATAGTTCTTGTAACAATAAATAGAATACAATGAACATAGTCACATAGTAGTCATGATACGTCATTCACGTTAACAACACTGTAACCACGGTCGAAAAGTAAATTGTTACAACAGCACGTGATATACTGAATCTTACTTTTTAGTGATTTACTCCCTTTGTTAGCTTAGGTTTTGGAGCCTGAACACTAAGATGAGGAAACAGCCTACTTTAGCTTGGCATTATGTCTGCTCTCATATGTGAGATTCGTATAATAACAAGTATTTCTTTAGTTTAAAGTCCGGTTTCAAATACTCATGGATGTGTTAACATGTACCGTAGTACATGTATACGATCTAATCTTACGGGAGAAGAGGAGAGAGATGCAACAGCCAACTACATTCGGAGTAATATCACAATCACAGCACAATTCCCCCTCATATTATACATATTTGGGAGGTTTCCAAACTCATTAAAGTCAAAAAGTGAAAAAAAAGAAATGCACTTTGCATTCTCCAAGCAATATAGATGAATTGCCAATTCACATTTATCTGATTTACTCAATAACGATAAATAGGCAATTCAATTCCCTCAACTCGCCAGGAAGCAAATAAATCGTCTATATGGGGTGGATTTTGATTGGTAAATTTCTTTGACTTCTTCACTTTAAATTGTCTCAATAATACTTGTATGGACGTGAAAAATTGTTCTCTTAAGGTCGTTCGCGGTTATTAGAATGGATATACCGATTTTCATGATTTTTACGCTGCGTACGATGAGGATTTTTATATAGTTGTTCACATACCTGACATAAAACGTATGATCACGGAACTACTTTTCGAGTTTAAATGACTAAAAAATCATGAAAACGGAAATGTTTGGGCCATTTAACATTGGTTCGTATATGGGGGAATAATATACTTTCGTCATATTTGAAAATATGGTTCAGTGAAATATAGTGAACAAATAGTATTCTATAAGAATGATAATTTTGATTTGCACAAATTATAAAAAGATTTGTGGAACAGTGTTCATTTCCTCTAAATAATGCCTTTAAAAATGAATTTTATGAAAATTGTTTCCAAAAATAACCTTTTTTTCTGAGACGAAGCATTTGTTTTTATACTTAAATATCTGAATTATTATGAATAAAGCTGGAAAATATATCCCATAACATAATTACATCAATCAAGAACATTCAGTAGACTGCTTTCCCACTGTTGTTTCAATCCCAAAACTTGTTTGTATTCAAATTATGACAATGCATATTTATATTGAAACAAACTATGATAAATGGAACAATATTATATAACGAAGGATAAGGTCAACAGAGTTCAACTATGTTTAGTAATTTGTAACCAATTTTTCTCAAAAACAATGATTCTAACCCGGTAAAAACGCCAAAAAACTGTATGATGTATGTCTAAATACTGTAAAACCATTCATTTTCACTGGAATTTAATTTCACTATTTTGATGCGTTGAGTAATTTACTTGCTTTTAAGTTCACAAGATTGGCTGAGAAACTTCTATTGTTCTTGGCAGACTTCTATTATAATACATGTTTACGTAGTTTTAATTAGGTGGTTTCAACCTTTCAGCAAAAATAGCGAAATTAAAACCTAGTGAGAAATTAATGCGTTTACAATTAATAATTGGACAGGTGGCACTTTTAAACAAAATATTGTGGCAAAATGTTCGAACTATTTAATTAGCTCGCGAAGGACCTTTAAGTTAAATATCAACAATCTAGGACAGCAATACACTGCACATATTTTTCATTCATGGCTTATATCACTTCTAGGTATATTTAACCGAACGCAGAATTTCTTCAATATGATCACAGTTTTACCCCACTCTTTTTCTCAACAAAAACAGATAAAACAGTTTGCAAAAAATCATCGCTGAGTAATGACGGTATATTGCAATATAATCAAAATTATTTTCCAAACCCTGTGACTGTGAATATTTGTCTCGTTATTTAACTAAACAATGTTGCACAGTTAGAAAGTTAAAGTTGTGTATATTTTCAAGTAAGTATTGGTTTGGTATGAGCGAGTGTTTATAAGGCCATATATGGATTCGTGCCGCATACTGTTATTATGGTGCCATGCACGTTAAAAAGACAAAGGGAAATTAATGTGTTAGAGAAACTCATAACCAAAAGGCAAGCTAAAACCTACACCCATTGTTTCAAGAACAGCCCCTCTATGGACATGGTCAGTCGGGAATCATCAATTAATATTAAATGACAATAAAACAGAAAATATCAAAT